GATAGGTTTTCAAACATGTGACCAAATTATAAATGCCTCAGAATGTTTCTATCTACATTGATTACTGAAGAACAAGTTTGACAAAGAAGAAAACCAAGTTAATTTTAAGCAAATAGCGATTTTATTTGAGATCTAACATATTTCCACACACAGCGAATTATTGATAATAAAAATACTGAAAAGACTTTGTATGCCTTGGCGTATTCATTACTCATTGTCCAATTTCACTGAACATTTCTTTACGTGTTGGCGTACAGCGATTTCCTCATCATGTTACGGAAAATCTTTGTTGGAATTATATTAAATAATGTCACGAAACATACTGTCCACATTCGTTAAGATCAAAGTGATTACTTAGTTGTGTCTTACTTTGGATGTAGTCCAGTTATAACGGAAAGAATATGTCGTATCCTGTCGATAATGGTGTGTCCAATTAGACCTATTAGCACTAATATATTTGTAATGGCTGAAAGGGTGTTTTAAGATCCGTTTCCATGACCTTAAGTTGGCTTCGAAACAGTAAATGATACAACAAACATCGAAGTACCTTAATGAAACAATAAACATTGAAACACTGAATGAAAACAAAAGGAAACAGACAATAGAAATAAGAAGATATGGTATGAGTGCCTATGATACAACTCTCCCTCCAAGTCATAATGTGTAAAAAGTTAACAATTATAGGTCAAAGTACGGCCTTCAACACGGAGCCTTGGCTCACACCGAACAGCAAGCTATAAAGGGCCACAAAATGACTTGTGTAAAACAATTCAAACAGGAAAACCAACTGTCTAATCTATATAAAAAAAGGGAAACGATAATAATAATAATAATAATAATAATAATAATAATAATAATGATGGAATTCGTTCTTTAAATAAACCAAACGCTATCATTTGGTCAAACCTGAGACTAGTAGTACTATAACAACATATTATTTTTTTGTTCGACATTTTACATTTATTTTGTGCTATTTTACTATAGGGTAAATATATGTTCATATCTTTCGATTCATGCCATTTCGGACCACACTGTTCTTGTCAGTTGGTCTTAAGAGCTAAATACTATATAAATAACACATAGCTGAGAGGGTGATAGAGTAGATTGTTACCACGAGAAAACATTGTCAACCGCGGCGAAGCCAAGGTTGACAATGCTTTTTCGAGGGGTACCAATCTGCTCTATCACCCTCTCAGCTATGTGCTATTTAATTTATTATACTGAATGTCCTATCATTATTGTCTTCTGCAGATGAATTGTATTTAAAAGTATTTTCTATGACGTCACGTACATAACAACGTTACAGGTATTAGAAAAACCAACAGAAGTGAAGCAAAATGTTCTATTTTTTTTTATTTTGACGGTCAAATAATAAAATCTGAACCAAAACGTAGAACTTAAGCATTGTCTTTAATTACTTGATGTAAATTCTATTCATTGTCCTTTGAATTGTCGATTTTTGATTGGTCTGGACGAGAGGGTGACATTCAAAAAAATTGTCACCCGCTCAGCCATGTGATAGAGTAAATTAACACCCTCGTATTAGCCAATCAAAATATGACATTTTAACGTGAAGTATTATAATAAGTAATGTAATCCATCAGTAAATATAAAAAATTGTTATAATGCATGTGTTATTCCCGTATCCCCATTTGATGTTAGTGCATGTGTTATTCCCGTATCTCCATTTGATGTTAGTGCATGTGTTATTCTCGTACTTCAATTTGATTTTAACCGCCTCGTTGTCCTCGTGGTAGCGTGTTCGCCTCGAGTGCGGGAGGTCGTGTGTTTGAACCCCGGCTGGGTCAAACCAAAGACTTTAAAATTGGTATTTGCTGCTTCTCCGCTAAGCACGCGGCATTGAGGAGTAAGAGCAAAGACTGGTCGGCTGGGAGTCAGAATAATGTGTCCTGGTAAGGTGACATGTCTTCCTGCGGACTGTTACCTTGTGAACTAGCACGTTAAAAATCCGGTTCAGCGTGTCGGTCTAGTACAAAGCAGGGTTAATATTCATATTACATTAACATGTTCTCGTCCTGAATATGCATATTAATTTACCGCTGGACGTTAAGCAGCCATCCATCATCATCATCATCATCATCATCATCCATTTGATTTTAGATGGATTTAAATGGAGGTAACGAATTGTCAAAGATTTAGTGATGCAAGCAAGACCCTCTTATTGGAAACTCGATACTCCGCTAGCAAAAACATTTCTTTACCGTTAAGCGCAATTTGTTCGGAATGGTAAAATATATTAGTCGGTGTGTGTGTGTGTGTGTGTGCAAATATTGTTAATAAAAGATATAGTTTAAATGCCGATACCGGTAATTGATTGATGATTAACACCACTTTCAGCACTATTGGCAATTTTGTGGCGGTTAGTTGTTATTGGTGGATGAAGCCGGAGTGCCCGGAAATAACCATTGATCTTCGGCACAATCGAAACTCCTACTCAATTACGATTGGAGTCGTGCGCATCTGCCATGTGCGGGATTCGAACTCACAACTTTAGTGTTGACAGGCGAGTGATACAGTAGTTTGATTACTTCGACCACTCGTCGACCGAGGCCCTCTTAAATGTCGATGGAACAGCAACCCAACAACACAGTTAACCTAAATAGGCGAGTGGAGGTCACTCACTATGCGATCGTTAATCATGAATAGACTGATAAAAGCATTCTCTTTTATTTTCAAAAGAAACAACAAAACAAAAATAGTTATTCTCGTATAAAATCAACACTCCTGTCAATTATACTGACAAATGATTGGGAAACCATTTGTTAGAATAGAATAAGTATTATCTGTTGCAGTGAGAGGTTGATTGCATAAACACGAATTTTCAATAAAACTGCAAAGAACTTAAATAATGCCTCTGTCTAGTGGTGATTTCTTTTGTCTTTTAAATACTGTCTTTCGGTTTTCATTGATGGATAATGTCTGCTCTCTTGAATTTAGGTCTCATAAATTGTAAGTAATTGAAGAAAACGAATTTTATATATTCATAAAAGTAAGAAAAACAGTTTTCATTAACTGGGGCCAGTGGTCGAAACTCAATATTAGTATCGCATATGTTTTATGTATTTTGCATTCCAAACATTGGAACTTGAATGTGCCTAATACAGGCTACTTATATCCCTACAATCAAAGTGTCAGAGTTTAGGTACAAAATTGAATTACTAGTATCCCAGATATCTTCTCAAATGATTAAAAATGGAACCTTGATGTACGGTTTGAAATTAGCAGATTATGTATATGTCTATAACGTTTTCAAACTAGGATAATTGTCACTATAGATTTGTTTTTAAATTTTGATTACCGGTGAGGTGATATGTTTTATTTTGGAAACATAGATTACAGTGTGTTTAACATGTTTTATATGGTGTTGGAATAACTATATTAGACGTCCTCTCGATTTAGGGTTTTGTCATTGGAAAGGGAGCAAAAACAAAACTGAAACATGGAAATGAAAACAATAGAAATCGCATGGACTCAAAACGGAATGAGACCAATTGCGGTTGACAAGGTGATCATGAATATAACAATTACAAAGTCGTATAAAGTAATTAATATCAAAGCCGGTGATATGAGATGGACGTGTTGTATATAGGCAGGACCGGAGGCAATCTAATTAAAATATAGATCTCGGATTCCGAGATCTATATTTAGTATGTAGTATAACGTAGTATAACGAAATCCGAGATCTATATTTTAATTAGATTGGACCGGAGGTTGGCGTACAGAGTGACTGCGGTTTAAAATTAAAAAAAAAACCGCTTTAGTAAGTAACTCTTTACTAATATGTTATACTATTGCTTATTTGATATGAGTGACAGATGTTGGTGTAGTCAAAGATTGTTCTGACGTCTGACGTCCTTTTTGAGGAGTTGCTGGGGACAATGGGACGTGTTTGGTATACTTCAATGAAATGGAAACCCGACAGCATTATTAAACAAAAACAATCTAGAGAACACTACATCATTTTCAATAATAGAAACGTTACTACCATTTGTCAAGCTCGAAATCACCCCTAAACTAGACGTGTTGTAAGTAAATTTGACAGATTACCATGGATGTCCCATCGATTATGAATGTCTAAATGACAAAAAAAAAAAAACCCAAGAAATAAATTCCTCACAGCCATTGAAAAGGTTTTTGATTAAGAATAGTCTGATTAACAAATAGGTTGGGGTACATATATCCTTTACGGCTAGAGACTTATATCATCAGGACCGGTCCGTTTTTCCATATTCTGTTTAACTCATGCATACGTATGCCTATAAGTATCATTAACATCATACGGAGAAAGGCAAAACAAGACTAAGGTATTGCATGCTAAACCAGCAAACGGTTATCGAGCCTTTTCACTTTTATTCTGTTGCTCGTGGATAGTAGTCTTGGTTTGCTGAAACGAAGAGCAGACTCCTATGATATATTTTCAAACAGTATTTGAAATTCGTATTTTTTGCTTACTACCTTAGGACCATCTTCAAACCAATGCCAATTATAGAGCTGAAAATATTCTGTATGTAGTGTAGTAATTATCAAATTTAATATCCACTCACCATTGCTCTTTATTACAGCAATCCGGTATTACTTTCTAATTTTTTTTTTATTCTATCGGTCTTACCATCGCATTTATCACACTATTCAGCTCTACATAAAATCCCATGTATCTTGGCTCTGTGAAGACAAATGTCTTGGACCTGGCCTTAATATCGTTTAACCAGACTTATCATCGACCTATCAAGTCCTCTACCGTCTTGTTTCCTTGATGAAAACCTCACAAATGCAATTTGATAAGTCGATTATCATATTTTCCATATATGTTCGACACAATATGAAGCTTTTGATCTCGCTTGCTGCGCTTACTAACCAAAAAGTTTCATATTATGATTCGAAGATATCGGTATGCAAAAAACTTTATAATCGGTACATTTTCAAGGCGAAGTTGAAATATCTCAGCACTATTAAATGCAAAATCACAAAAAACAAACACATTTCAAATTGTACGTTTATAACAATAACAGTTTGACATAATTCGTGAAAACGGGACTGTATAATAAAAGGGATGACATTTTTGCCATTTGGAGTACCTGTGAGCTTTAACATCGTACTGTCTTTTCTTTTGAGCTGTAATTTATAATAACATTGAAAGAAAACAAATATTTTAAATGGGTGACGGTGGACAACTAGAGTTTGGCGTTTTGATCATGTCACAGAGTTCTGATTCTTCTTGAATGCTTCCCCTGTAGTCATAGTTTCTGTTACGACAGCGGCCATTTTCAAATTTCTGACGGCCTACTTTTGGTAAAGGTAGTAAATCGGTTCTGGAATGTGGTGTATATTTAGAAATAAGTGTGTTATGAGTACATGATAAGTCCGCCATCTGATAATGCAATCCCTTTTTACCTTTTAACACTCTATACTTATTTCCTGTAGTAGTTGAAGCTAAAACTGTTGAGTGTGGATAAGTTAAAGAATTAAAGTTTTCTCCGTGAACAAGACATCTACAGAACGTCCGAATGAAAGTTCTTCGGAATTTTTGTCCAAAAGCACAGTAGAGTATGAAGTTTATAGCACTATTGAATGTAACCATGAAATTACGAATTGTTGACAGAATCTGCCACCCGTACATATGTATGACATAACTATTCACAGAAAACGCTACGTTGTACACCAAAGCAGGTAATTGGCATATCATAAACACTATGACAACAGATACCAACATGATTGTCACATTATTTTCACGTGACTGCCTGACGTTCATATCTTTCCGCTGCTGGTGTGACCTTCTTACCGCAAAGATAAGAAATGTATTTAAAACTGCTAATGATGTAAGAGGTATGAAGAACATAACGAAAAGATAAAGCCACAAAAAATAGACTTGACGGTATACGTTATTTTTTCCGAAATCTGTAAACGCATAATCCAGTTCTGTGGTGTTCGTTGTGTTATTATCTCGGCGGATGATCTCATAGTCAAACCACCGATTTACGTTGAATAGGAATGACGTCACAGACACAAAGGCAATAACGAGTCGTGCTCTGGCTATAGTGCACATCCGAGCTGCTTTAAGTGGGTGACAGACGGCTATGTACCGCTCAACCGTGAAAGATACGGTCAACCATAAAGTTGCTGTTTGAGCAATTAAGGCGAACGGGTACATATATTTGACAATATACGGAAACACATATCCTTTAAATCCAATTGACAGCTGTGGCAACACCATTAGACAGAACGTTCCCAGGAGCACCATACCATCCCAGACAGCCAGTGCTGTAAGGTAACAATTTGTGGATGAATGCATTGTTCTTCTAGTCAATACTATCACTGTCAAACTGTTGCCAATAAGACCGAGAACGATAATTATTATAGCCATAAACCCGTTCATGTATCTTTCTAGTAGGACCGAATCTACAAGATGATGCTGCTGACTGTCAACAGCGATTGGTAGAAATGTTGTAATATCCAAGTGCTGTGATTGATCTCTTGGAAAGGACGGATTCCAGCCGGTTTTATTGGAAATAAACGACAGCATCGGGGTATCCTCCGTTTCCATAGCAACTACCTGCATTTGAATATGGTCTTTCGGAATCTTTAACTTGGGGGAAAAAAGGTGACTCTAATATGCTGATCTCTTTGATGTTATTGTGATGGAAATATAGTTCCTTTCGGTTCGATTGTAATTGTTGAGTGAATTACTGGATTAACGATTCGCATGACTCTTTCCTGAAAATGTAATGAAAATGCATTATTCAGCTGGAATAATTATTTAAAATGAAAATTCTGGACTCTTTTATTCACTGAAACACTCGTACAAAAGTTCCATGCTAAAAGAACTAAAGCAGAAATACATGTCCGACTATCTCAAACTTAAAGCATTTGTAATCTCCAAGGAGAATTTTATTTGACTATACAGACAATTTTCATCTGTATTTAACACGAAAACAACGTGTAGGAATTAATTACGGTTTAGTACTCCCTCTATATTTGTGCATTGATTAATTCAGAATTATATATTATTTTTGTTAGAAGTCTGGAATTTTTTTTTTTCACACGTCTTAAATTACTTTAGACATTCATGGTACCATATATTTTGCATTTTGAATTACACTTACAGTTATCCTATAAATTTCGTCTATCCATAATATTCTCAAAATGACTTATTTTCACAGAAACTATAAGCCTCGATCTGAGATAGTAAACTACTGATTTATTGTTTTTTTTTGTATTGTTGACTTTGTAGACTATTTTCTTCATGAAATGTCAATATTTTATTCCGTTATTGCAAACTTAAACAATACACATCAAAGAATAATTAGTAAAACAAATATATATACTAGTATATATTAGTGAACTGTAAATACACAATAGGATTATCCCTTATCAAGAACATGTGTTACATACATTCTTCACAACTAAGAAACGTGAAATTCTATAATTTCATTGGTCGTAAGCACTTTACTATATTCTAACTTGCCTTGTGAATGAAATTTATAATCATGACAATGTCCATGAATTACTCTTTGAAACCAAACAAATTATTTGAATCAAAATCATGATTCATTAGGATTTAATTTTTAAGATGAAGTATGTGAAAGTTTCGTAGAAATCCATCAATTAAAAGGCAAACATTCCTGTCTTTGCAAAATAAAAACCACACTTGAAAAGCCAAAATTTCCTTTTCCTTTATCCAATTTGACAAGCTTTGCAAACCTACCTACTCAATTTATACTCTTTTATTTGTCATTATGAATCGTCCTGAATATGGCATGAAACATTTGCCACTGGAAGTTAAGCAAACTACAATCTATGTAGCAATGATATAAACAGAGGGTAAAGAAATACAGCAAAATGGAATGAAAATAAGTAGCTGTTTATGTTTTTCGCCTCATTGGTAAGAAAAATTCGTCAATTCGTCAACAACCATAAAAAAAATACGAAAAAAGATGAATAATTGTATATCATAATGGAATTCCCTTGATGCCAAACGTAGCGTGTGAAAACTTTGAGCAAACAAACGATCTTAAATAACACCGTATAATGAAAAAGTTCTTCCAATTTCATGATAATCATTTCAGTCACAAAAAAATATTCCGTTCGATTCTTTCGAATGTAGAAATTAAAATGATCGGGTGCGCAGTCATATTGCGCACTATTAATCAAATAACTGATAACCTACATTTGAAGTAACTACATTTGAAGTGAAACGGACAATAATGCAAATATGCTTACACCAATAACCGAACTTATGCTGAATCATCAATTTTATTAACTGGCAATAATATCAATGGCCTTTTTAATCAGCAATATAATTGTGTTTTACCACCTCGTAAATTCACCTCCCGATTCCAGTTACGTAACAATTTGCTACGATAATTGTATTCATTAGAAAGTCGTTTATCCACCAAACTTTCAATATCATTGCAAGTTTGGCTTTGTTGTTGTTTTTGATTAGCACATTTAATCGTTTCAGATTGAATTGACAAGATTCAGTGTTTTATAATTACCATTTTTATTTCTATGAATGGAATTATTGATAGTTGTGAAATTGATATTGTACTGAAAAAAGGGCGCGTTACTTTTAAAGAAATATTTCACAAAAGTTTCTGTGAAGGTTCAACTCTTGGATAATTGGATCGAATGATTACAGCCTGATTGACACCTTTATATATACAATGTGATAGGAACTGTGGAGAAAATCAAAATGACCCTTTGTTTACCCTTTTCGAATAATTCTTCTTTCAGTTGAATGAACTTTCAGCCTTCTTCCCAATATAGAGATCAACTGCATGAGGTAGATTCTTATTAGACTTTGGATGTTAGATGTTGGAGAATAATGAACTGTCAATATAATTATGTAGTCATGTTCATTACATTAAAGTGACGATGACCGTTGTTTATATGTAATAACGGCTAATCTTCTATATTAACCCCAATTTACACATTTCAGAAATTGGCAGTAAATCCAATAAAGTCGTAATCATGTACGACTGTTACCCAGAGGCATTGTTTTAACTAACGGTCGTTATCATGAAGGCTGTTACCCAGATGCATTGTTAAAACTAACGATAGGATGACAGAGCTAAGAATCTCCTTCTGTTAATGATGTCGCTCTTATGTTTGACGACACAATTACTCCTGGGAACACACGGATTTTGAAGGAGTACATACAGGCGAAGAAATAGCGTTCAAGTGGAAAACTACAGTGAAAGAGAGAAAAAAAGATTGATATTTGTGATAAGCAATGTCGTCAGTCATATAAAAATTATTCAACATTGGGCCATTTTGAGAGATAAATGGTACCTACGTACCCTTGTACATTGATAACAGACCTCAAACTTCTCCTTGGACTTATAATTAAAAGATAAAATGAGACGTGGTGTGATCGCCAATTAGAAAACAACCCAACGATACCACCCTTAAAAAAGCCAAAACAAAATACATATAAGAACAAAGACCCAAAATGCGACATATCGGCGGATTTTTGCTTGGCTTGAGCAACTTGATAAGTGACACTTTTGGAGCAGGAACAGCTAACCCTCCCGGGACACACATTTTAAATTCGGATTTGTTGTGGGGTTCGTGTTCAGTGTAGTGTTTGTGAACTGTTGTTTGTCTTTTTCGACTTTTTTCTTTTGATCATGGTGTTGTCTGTTTTTCGTTAACCAATAGTTAATAGTTGTCTTGTATCCTTTACTTTATTCCAATGCTTTCATAGCACCAAACTTTACACGTCTATAGCAATTATTTGAATGCATTTGAGATGAAAGCTAACACATTTTGTACCGGATTTACTTAATATATTGCTACAATTGACGTCAAGCCAATCAAGCTAAATGTTTGTGTGAAACACATTTATATTTACTAAACATATTGTTATAATTGACGTCCGAGCCAATCAAGCTCTATATTTGTGCGGAACACATATATTGTTTCCGATTTGATTTCTTGTTCTATAATTATAGTAATATCACAAATAAAGAAAACAGCAATGACAAGTCACGAATGCAAAACAATTTCGTTATTGCTTTATGAACGTATTACGTGATATATTCTGGAAAATATTTATTTTAGAAGTTTTGACGCCGAAACATGCAACTTTTCAATCACAAATAACTTCAATTCGTACCATCAATCATAATACTTTTCTGTCATCATAAAATGCCTCAAAAATTTAAATTATGATAAAATAGAATCTGTATGGAAATATTTTTTGTTGCTTTTTACCGATTTGAATAACGTTTTAGGGAAGATTCAAGAATAATATCAGTCAGCAAATCTTAATGTTATGGTATCGTTAGGTTGTTGCCGCCGTATTGTTGTATACCCCCGGAATATCCTTTTATGTATACTTAATTCGTATTCATATTGAACAGATATATAATGTTCTGAGGAATATTTGCGAAAAATACTAATTGAGGTACAGTGATTTATTACAAAACACCTTATATAAGAATACTGGATTTTGATTGATTGATAGCCGGTATATTTTTATGCCCCACCTAGGGGCATTATGTTTTTCGGTCTGTCCGTCCGTCCGTCCGTCTGTCCCGCTTCAGGTTAAAGTTTTTGGTCAAGGTAGTTTTTGATGAAGTTGAAGTCCAATCAACTTGAAACTTAGTACACATTTTTCCTATATATGATCTTTCTAATTTTAATGCCAAATTAGAGTTTTGACCCCCCAATTTCACGGTCCACTGAACATAGATAATGATAGTGCGAGTGGGGCATCCGTGTTCTATGGACACATTCTTGTTTCTTATATTTTGACGATTTTTTCTTCGTTGGTGACAATTAAGTGTTTCTTTCACGAATTTTGGCGGATATGCCACAATAACTTCTGTCGTGTGGTTGGCAAGCCTCTTCCCCCAGAACCATTCGAAAAGTTCCGTACGTCTCGGCAAATTTTAAAAGCAATACGATTAATAAAAAAAAATAATTGATCGAAGGGATTTGAATACACAGTCCACTGCAAATGGGGGTATACCTATGTATCCCCAGCTTTTTCTTTTAAGTATTACCACAACCTTAAATAACATTTGTTTTGGACGGATATTTGTGAAAAAATACAAGTCTTGTGACGAAATTTCTCTTGCCTGTCGATTCTAGTAATTTTATTGTGTTGATAGGTATTTTATCGCAAATACACTTCCATAAAATTGTATGTCTGTTCATTACATGTAAGCATCTGTTTCTAAGTATACAGAAACTAATGTTTTTCGGTTATTTTTTGGAAATGGTTCTACCCATAAGACTTAGACAAGCTTGAAGATGTCATGGATATCTGAAGTTTCTTTTTCAAGGTTTCCCTTTCTACTTCCTAATAGTATTTACATTTTGTTCCATTAGCCAGTAATTTGCAATTGCTTTAGAACCATTAGCAAATAATTTCAATTACTTGTTGTACCACTAGTAGGCACATATATTAGGCCTGATTGTTAAAACGTTTCCATGCATACACTGACGAAGTGCAATTTTCGTTGTGCAAGGAATAGTTTTTTTTTACACGTTCCGGCGTCCGTAATCTCTTTTTATCACCATGCTTGCACCTTTATGTTTTGTAGGATGCTCTTTATTTTATCGTTTTAACATAGATCAGATCAATGGTTGTCATATGTTTAGATTTTTTACATTTTATGGGAACCTTTTTTTTTTTAACTATACGTTTTGTGTTTGTTCATTATTGAAGTCCGTATTGTGACCTATAGTTGTGTATATTCACATCA